ATTATTAAATAATTTATTATAATCGTGATTGTAATATAATGAAGATAGCAATAATATCCAATTATCACATAATAACAAAAAGTTGAATAAAAAATCCATGATATGGTTGTACGTTAAATAGTTATTGTAAAAATAAAACAATCATTTAAACAAATAATATGCATTGACACTAAAGATTACCATGACTTCATAATAAGAAAATAGATTTCAAACCAAATATATGATTATTTTTAGACCATTACGAAATATATAAGATGTAAAAATGTAAATGATATCTTACGGAACTAGTATCGTTATATACTAATAATTTATTTATTTACAGTTGAATTTCTATAAGTTTTGTATGCGATGTTGTATAGAACAAGAATTTATGATACGTAAAAGTTAAAAATGTAACGAATAATTTTTATTATATAATGAATGAAACATTCAGGCATATATAAATAATTTAATAGTTTTCTTCAATTATTTGCTCTACACGACCAAGCTATGAATCTTCACTAATATTTTTTAAGAAAAAAAAACTTTGTAAGTATATCAAAAAAAAAATTGTAAAAATTAAGATCAAAATAGCGTAAAAAGGGTATTTAAACGTAAAATTGACCAAGGAATCATGTATAAATGTGCCTTGCTAACTGCAGAGAATGTAGTTGTAATTTTACTATCCATCGTCTACCACGGACAAATCCTGTAGCTCGGCAAGACGCCGATAGATTAATCGACTAAGCTTCATTCTTAAAATATTTGTTTGAATAAGTGACCTATGCTTAGCCAACTCGTCTCTTTAGAAAATTTTAGAGTCTCAACTTTTGATGATTAAGTTACTCCTGAGCAAAAAGTGGATTTAAGACTTTCATCCTTTATCTCTGATCAGAGATCTGACTTTGATGTGTCACGAAGCTATCAGGCCTATCTCTTTGGCAGTGTTGACTGTAACTTATATCATATTTCGGTTGATCACCTTGAAATCAAACTGTGTTAAATTAGTACATTTCTTGGAATTAAATTGAAATGGTACTATAGAATCCAGTTTTTTAATCCTAACAATCCTAAATTCTTGTCATTTAGTACCTAAGATCTTAAAATCTATGTTCAATTTTGATATTTAAGAATTCTAATTATTTTGAATACATTATTTTATATGCAGTAAAAATAATATTGACGCTATTTGATGTCGTAGTGTATCCTTTTGATTCAACTTTTGCTGTTTCTTTGCAATAGTAATTTAGATTCATTCAGGTCTAGTAAGAATTTTTATAATATTTTTAACATAGTTAAATTTATATAAAATTTTTATGGTTTTCAACAGAAACTGCATACTTATCATAACAGACATAAATAGAATTGTATCATTATGATTCTAAGTATAATACAGAAAGGCCGTTTTTCTTAGAATACCTTTCATTTATGTTATCATTTCTTTGCAAAATGTTGCTGTCGAATATACTGTAATATTCGGATAAGAGGTAAGCATAGTGGCAGGTGAGTTACTTCGTCAACAATAGAAATATTAAAAATTTTCCGACCCACGTAGTAAAATAGATTCTAATTTACTTTTCTTTTTCTTCCTCTTATCGTCATATACTAAAATTTAACCTAGCGTTTACTCGATGAATGAGTTGATGATTTCAATTATCATTCTTAACGATAAAATACGAGAAGTCACGATAATTGCAAAAAACGACAACAAAAAATAATGTACGTATATGTGCGAAATCCTAAGCTGTTTACTCTGATGTGTTTCCCCGTAAACATGTAGCTCGATCGAAAGACTGATACGTATATAAGATCGTTATCGATGCGACTGGTGCACGTTCTGGAATATATATATATATATATATATATATATATATATATATATATATATATATATATATATATATATATATATATATATATGCGCGTGCGTGCGTACGTGTGTATGTGTGTGTTTAGATGAACGAGCAATGAAAAACCATTTGCATGATAAAGTACGCCTGATAATTCGCCGAAATGACGCGAGAATATACGAGAATTTTTCCGTGCGCAAAAGCAGACATAGCTTACGACACGTGTATGAATCGATTTACAATTTTCTTTCATGCTTGAACAACGATTTAAATGTGTATGTATATGTACTGTAATCTATCGGCCTGTTTGTAACATTCAAATATATTCAACTGTTTGCCACAACGCCTAGACGACGTTTCTTGTAATTAGCGCGATGGAGTTGAGATATCACGGAGATTCAGTGCAAACATATAATTCCAATTGACCTTTGAGCTTACTCTATATACTCGTATATTCGATAATAATTAGCTACTAAGTAAAGGTAAACGTCTCACTGCTTTGAGTAATGAAGTATATGAAATTTGACATTTTAATAATGATAAATTAAAGATTTATTTCACTTGGATTTTTAGAATCGACGTAGAGAAACCTTTTTTATGTCACTAGGGATTGATGCAAATTGATGTAAATGCGTTTATTGAGTTGCGTAGATAGCAACTGAATCCTCGATGGCTTATCGCAAATTCCAAAGCTAATATGTAAAGAGACAAAAAAAGAGAAGTACAAATCGAACGTCATCCACACGGATATTCGACGTGGTCATATCACGTACATTGACAAACCAATCGTTTGCATCGGTGACGCAATGGCGCTCAGCTGGCGCCTATGCTCTCCTAGTTGTCGCAGAATAACATTCCTTCGGAAAAAATAATGTTGATAAAAGTATGCATCGTATTAAATAAATCCAAACGGAAAGGAAACGAGCGAACAATCTAGAGAGGCGCAGGTGTGCGTAGCATGATGACCTTCGTGTTGTGAAAGAAACAAGGCGTTTGAAAAGGTTCGCCTCGTAAGATTGCAATGTCAGCTATTCTCACGAGATGAGGCAATTGCTTTGACCTGATTGTGCCACTGTTCAGATTTGAGCTTCTAATTTTTTGGATTTTTGACGAGTACACGCATACAAGCTAGGATAATTTCTCGTCAATTATATTCCATGCTAAGCGTTTCGATCTACACACATGCGGTTGAGTCATCGGTTTCTGCCTTCAAAACGAATGTATTTCCATAGTTGCGGGGATGAATAGTAACTGACATAGTAGCTTGATTTAACGCGATACTCAATAAAAAGATATTATGTCAATTGCACTTTTCGGAGTTTCTTTTGATTTATGCTCCAAGATTGCTGCCTGTCTATTTGGCGATTCATTGTCACCATTGAGACGGCGATATATACATTGGAAAATTGACTTGGTCGTAGATTGCTTATGATAAATTTATCTATTTGTAATCTGATTACTAGATTTTTTTATAGTAGTTATTCATAGACGTGGTTCGGTTTAATAAATAATTATATTTATAATCACGCGGATAACTATAAAGAGTATTTTTAATAAATACAGTGTGTAGAATTAATAACTTTTGCAATTAATTTTAAAAGTAAAACCTCATTATTGTTGAAAGTTTTCCCCGTAGTCGTCGTATATCTTGAATTTGTTCACAGCAAGCTTTAGTGCAAGAAAGTTCGGCTAACATGAGAAAGTTGAAAATGAATAGCCAATCGAAAAACAAAAGAGGAAAGAGGAGAAGAAGCAGAAAAGTGTAGCTCACGTTCTCCTTTCAATGCATAGGACGCATGAGTTTGTCGCGTCACCGTCGTCCAGCTTGACCGCCAGTTAATTTTTTTACACAACAAATACAAAACGAGCGGTCGCGGCGCTCGCGGCGTTTAACAGAAGATGTATTAACCACTGCGACCTCGGTGCGGTGCACGTGAAAAATAAAAGGCTCAATGAACCTGTGCGGTAAATGAAAATGCGACAGCGGTATCGTCATCCTCTTTTGCGTCTCACGTGCGTAGCTTTGGGTTCTACAGCACACACTTCTGAGGATGCACACCGCGATTGAAAGAGAGGGAGAGGGGGGGGGCAGAGAGAGAGAGAGAGAGAGAGAGAGAGAGAGAGAGAGAGAGAGAGAGAGAGAGAGAGAGAGAGAGCGGAGAAGACAAAATTAAGAAACAAGCAAATAAGTCACGGACACTTTTGAAAGTATTTTTAGGCGCGGCTATGTCATGCACGCACACGACGCGATAATTTCATGCGCGCGCGTTCAGTAATGAATCGTCGTCGTGATCGCCGCGGTGAAAAAATTCAGCTATATGTACGTGCAAATCCACGCTATAGAAGCAGCAGCATTTGCGTGTAATGGTGCAGTAGGTGATGCGCTTTATTTTTGGCCGCTGACATAATTAACAGAGCAAGATATTTTTGGGCAATAGTTCGCGCGCCGCGTTAATGAACCGCCATCCAACGCAAGCTTACGTACGATCGGGAAACCGAAAGCCGGTAATCAATTTCTGGCTTGCTGACTGTTTACGTTTGAGAATGTTTACAGACACATTAGTGCTAGAATGTTGAACTTTTGAATGAATTCATTGAGATATACCTGGCACATAACATGTTCCAAAGTTTTGCATAAAAACTGACGCGCTGTTAAATTATGAAGGGAAATTTCTGGAGAATTACATACGCAAGCACGTATAGTCGCGTCCTCTACTTTTAGCTAATCAAAACGTTTATTTGGCCACGCTGAGGCCTTATCGTGCCGGCACGATTACACCCACGGACAATACGGAGAAGCAGCATCGCTTCGTTTTATTGTAAAGCACAATCGTATAAAAACGCGTGGAACATTCATGTGGCGTGTGCCATGCTTGCTGAAAAACTTTTCCTCTTGTTATTGACGAAAGATCATGTTTGCTTGCAGGGGCAGCGTCGTTAATCAATATATATCGTCGCGAGTATAGTCTACTCACTATGCAGCGATAAAGTTGTAGTGTTCGAGCAGCTTCTTTTCGCGATAAAAAATTCTACAGGCAAAGAAGAAAGTCACGCCACACCACGAGTTGGAAAACTAGCACACGCTTGTGAAACTCGTCGTCGTCGCGTGCTTCAGTTGTTGAGTAGACGATATAGCATGAGTAAGTAAAAAGAGATAGAATCAAAACTCACCTGCGTGCTCCTCTCAACACAGTTACTCGTCGACTGAGCTGTCACACGCAGAGTGCGTATTTGGTAGCAGCGAGGCGCTCAATCTCGCGCGCACTCTCTTCCTTTGGAGGTGGTGGGCGGCTTATCAGTAAAAAATGAGTGAGCAAGCGAGAGAGTTGTATCTTAATGGCACATATACGTATAAATGAGAGAGCCCAGAGAAAGGGAGAGAGAGAGAGGGAGAGAGAGAGAGAGAGAGAGAGAGGGAGAGAGAGAGAGAGAGAGCGAGGCACACACCGTACACAATTTGTTAGTGTGTGTGCACGTGGCCAAAGAGCACTGCACGCAAGTACGCGCAGACCTGGCGCGACTGCGGCTCACTCGGAACTGAACTGACTGCGTGCGTCGTCGACGCGGACTGACTGCTCGGCTTGACCAACCCGCGCCACCCAACCAAGCAGACGAAGGAAGTATTACCCGGCGCGGCTCTCTCTCTCTCTCTTTCCCTCTCTGACGTATATACATACAGTAGACGACTTGTGTGCGCGTTCGTTTTGCCGGCGCCAAGTTCTCTACACACACGCACGCACACACACATATATATGTATATAAAATTGCGCTTTGCTTTGAGCTTTCTAGGTTATATACGGTATAACAATACAGTAATTGTGGCGTGTGCATGTATTTGATGGATTGCTATTTTTTCTCTCTATCTTTTTTAATTAAAACAACAATGCCGCGTCGTGGATTTATTAATCACGCGTGTCTGTCTTCGCGCTTGCGGTATGGAAATTTTGATGCGTTGCGTTTTGATATGACCTATTGTTGAGTGTTTCGATTTTTATAAATTCTGATGGTAAGAGATTGACGATGGAAATTGTACTTTATGATTAGATTTATTCGTTGGAATTCTGGACTACATGAAAAATGTTGCTTGTGCGTTTCAAGCAAGGTGTAGAGAAAGCCGGTGTATATATAAATAAGTACCAATAATATTTAGAGCAAAGCCACTTTCTTAGTTTATTGAGCAACATATACACATTCATTTCAAAATTTCAAGAAACTTCAAGATCGTTCACCTCATTGTCTAACTATTTTTATTTTTAAACATTCAAGAGAATCGGCAAGTTTTAAAAATTAATATTCAAATAAGTTTTGCACAAGAAGCAAAATAAATACTTATATCCTTTTTAAAAACAATGACATTTTCAATTAGCGTCAAGATGATAAACGACTTTACGTTTTACATTTTACAATGAATTAAAAACTCGAATAATCATCAAACGTATTTTCCGGTACTCTAATTGAATGTTTTTTTTGGTCAATTAAATGTCTGTTGATTATATTAGAGCTGATGATAGTGAAAGTTCATCGTAACTTTTCTGTATCAACCAACAAATGATATAATAACCAAAGTACAGGGCCACCACGTATGGAAACAATAAAAAAAAACTTGAAGAAATGACGTAGAGTAACTATAAGGTGTACGTCACATTGATACAGGCACGTGAGGCACGATACTTCATAAATCGAGTACAATCGACCAAAACGTCGTCGTAGTGAATGTGTACATATATATATATAGGTTTCCAGGCATTGCGTAAAGGTGCAAGTTTCTTTCATGTGCCATAATCGTTCCCTGAAAGCTCTCCTTTTTCCAGATTTATAGCCGTGATAGCAAAAAATAGCTTTTATGAATTTTAGGCCATAGAGCTCTCGCGTGTATAGACTGCGACGTTGCTGACCGACTGCACATACGTGGGGTTACCCTGCACTCGCGACAAATGTGTCTTTCTCTCTATTACTCCACATATGTAGCTATATCGGTTTATTAGATCACTTTTGCGTTTGTGGGGACTGTAAAATATGTAAGAAATGAAACTCTCCCATGCTACTGCACCTAAAGACGTTATAGTTCTTTTTAGTATTGCAGATGAGTGCGTTACGACTATTTCTTTTTTCTTTTTTTTAGGAATTAATGTACGATTTGTTCTAGTCCGAAATGTATTAGGCATTATTATTCTACATAGGATAAGCCTTTGCTATTTTAGAAAATTTCGTTTGTTCTACTCAAAACTATTATACTTTCGTTTTTTTCTTTGATAATGGGAAGATACTGTTGAATAATTTTACGAGACTTTGAAAAGAGATGCCAATTTATAAATAAATGTTCCGTCTAATCGAAAGTCTAATCGAAATATTTGGAATTTAACCTAATTTTATTTATAAAAAGCCTAAAATAGGGGCTAAGCAAATTGGCAAGAGACAAATATCCTTGTTACTTCTCATAAAACTCAGCTAGCTAAAATACTAGAGGCGACAAAACGCTTTAGAGACTTACGTCGTCGCCTATTCTCGTTGTCGGTTTTTGCACGTGCGCTGGTACCGCGATTTGCTCGTAGGCTCATACTCTTCCATACTAAAATAGTCGTGGTATTTTGGATTTCCTAGATAAGTCTGTGAGATACTTAGTAGAGGATTCAGCTCGGAACCCTTTCTATATATGATTTAGCGCTAACGAGCATCAAGTTCGCCGAAAGAGAAATTATAGAATTCACAGATCGTTTGGAGTTGACGCTTTTGAAGCCATAGCGTCGTTCGTTTAGAGAAATCGTATTTACTTTCTCCGTGAATTACTTTGCGTAAATTCTATTTTAACACTGCGATGCGAATCGCTACTACATTCTTGTAAAGAATTGGGAGGCCAACCGCCAGAATTTTTGGCGTGGAGTGTGAAGCTCTGTTAAAATGTTTCTCATTTTATAACTTCACTGATTAATGTCTGTATTAAGTTAATATGTCAAAACAAAATGCATAAAAACCGAATTCCTATGTAGAATATGCTTCTAAAATGAAAATACGGTGGCCGAAATATGCAAAATATTCCTACGGTAAATTAACATTGTTTATAACCATAATCGCTAACGTTCAACTGTACAATTGTCACTGACAATAAAGCGAGGAAAAAAACAACAATTAATTTCCTCTTGATTAACACATCAAATAGATAGTCGCGTGCAAACGTGAATTATAATGTGCTACCAACTTTCCATGCATCTAAGAGATGCGTGTGAGAATTATGAGGCTGGCAATAAATTAGTCACATTAGCGAATAGAATGCGAAAGATAACACATAATTTTTATTTGAATTATGAAAATGCTCATCGATCTTTCAAAACATTAAAACAACTGAAACCAAATATACCCAAGGAAAATTTTGTACGAAGTATGGTGAAGCCACGCTTATATTCCATCTGGTCAGTGTTGGGTCAAATATAAAAGAGAAAATTTGGAAAATCGGAACTACCTTACCAGCTGAATTCTCATAAACGCTCGATACTCATTTAGTAATGTAAACAGCGGGAGGACCCGAGTAGCGTTATAGTTCTAAACTTGAAATGGTTAATAAACGTTACTTGGGGAACATTGTTTGTATATAGCTGTATTGGACAAAAGTAAAATAAATACAGGTGATTAGAAATGGTACACGTGAATACTAAATTTACCGTCACGTGCTGAAAAATCGCCAACTTGGATATTTCATGTTCGACAAAGATTACGAATTTACGATGTATGTATAATAAAGTTATGTTAAATCTATCTTTACTTTAGCTTTACGTGACTTATTGAAATTTTAAAATATTCCACTTGGATATAAGATTTGAACAAGACGTATGATATACGTTCAACAAATGTTTGCTTTGCCATAATTTTTAAAAACTCATTATATATAAGAAAGATACACGCAATTATTGTAGCTCACTAAAATGACTCATTTACGATATATTCAATAAACACTTTCACAAAAAAAAATGAAATGGAATTTACCATATATTAGTATGTATACATATTTATTGGTCTCAGAGTCATTATAATGTATAATCATTCCAATATGCAAATATTATTTTTCCATTGAATTACGTGTCCCGAAAGATAAGAACGCCATTAAATATAATTATAAAATGATGGTCGAGTTGATTGATCTGACCTGAAGTTTGAGCAGTAACTGCATTGCCTTGTGGCATAATAAATCTCATGGTTTCAAACGACACGAAGTTCACACACAAACTATCTATTAAATTTGCGCCAATAAACGAAACTGTCAATAGTATAGAATCAATGACTGCGCGCGCGGAGCGTGCAAACTATGTTTGATTCACATAGCAGACTAAAAAGTGTGATACAAGCTGGCTCAGCGGTCAACTAGACATATACTCTGTAATTGATGTGATTCCCCTTGGCCGCTTCGTTGTGCGAATGGAAATCACGAGGGCGTAATATATGACTGTTTCGCAACACTGCTGTACAGAAATGATAAAATGATAATCGTGCGGACACACCGGCGTCTTCTATTCTATTTTTTTAGCACAAGGCACATACTCAATCAATGTAAGATTGGATATCAATGTGGGATTTTAATCAGTCGCGATGCGTCATGCGTCGTGATTGTTTGATTGAAATTTCAAACTAATTTCCGCGTATCTCCACATTTATTTGCCTTTTGTTCACTTTCGACCTACAGTAGAACACTGAAAAGTACACGACTAAGATTATTTTGGCTTTGCAAGGCTCTTTCTTTTAGCTATTCCTTGTGAAATTCACTTCTGTTTACACTGTATCGAATGAATTATCGTTTCAGTAGTAATAACAACAATAATTCATTGAACTGCGTGATCCAATAATAATTAGAAAAAACATATAATTACGAATCGGAAATAACAAGACCTTGAGGGTGTTTTCCAATATAAAATGAAGCACTTTCATCATTTAACATCAATGTTCTTGAAAGAAGACTTGATTCGATCAAACGTTATAGCATATGTTTATGATTTCGAAGTGAATATCTAAGAAAGATGGTATGTTCCTGATGTGATGACTACATGTGAGACTTGGTCGTGTTCAAATTGAACGAGTCACATGAAAATGATACAATATATTTTTCAAAAGACGAGCACACAAAGCAATAGAATAAAAACATGAAATAATCGGACCTGCTTGTAAAATGTATCTGCTCGTAACTGAATTAGATAATGACTCCGATGTACGTGTTTATCAATATGATAATAATGGCTTTTAGGCAACGATTTGGGTATGATATTCACCGATTCACACCTACCATGTCATGATTTTTTAGTTTGCTATGGTACCTTAAGTTTCATTTAGAATCGAAATCAGAGGACATTGCAAAGAGAGATTTTCACATCGATTTACAATACGGGCTTATATATGTTAGGTCCGTCATTATATATAAATAATGGTTTACGCGCACAAGCTTGATGACAGCGGAACTCAAAAATCGACTTCATATTATACTAAGCAAATAAGCGTTTTGAATTAGCTATTTTCTTTTTCTACTTTATGTCAATCGTAGTTTCTTTAATAGTCTTTTTTTAATCATATTACTATTAGCAAATCCGCAATTGTTGCAGATTTCAATTATTGACAATTTGTTGTGATTTTAGATATGATGGAATAATTATATCTATAACTAATAAATTCTCGATTGATGTTTTGTCATATCGCGTTCATTAATTACGTTTATGTTACGGTCTATAAATTGTTCTCTACCTAATCAAATAATCAATGCGCAGTTTTTTAAATATGTAACAATAATAATGGAGTTATTTTGTCGACTATTAGTTTTATTTAGTTGAAATAATCTTCTTACGTATCAAAATCAATTTTTTGTCAAAAATATCGTGTTTTTATGAGAATCAAAGTTTTGTACCATGAATGCAAAGTTTCATTCGTTCAAGTATTAGTAAATGCGATTTTTTATCTAAGACAATAAAAAGAAATAACTAAAATTTTGCAAAATAATTTTATACTTATTTAAGCATATATATTTTATACTTTAAGCAAAATTGTGTAGATGTTAGTTCTCAATGATTATTCAATTCTATGATTTTCTTCTATTAATAATAATTCTCGAATTATAAGCAATAATGTTGATGATTCTGAATTGGCGTGCTTCGTCAAAAATATTTGATGTTATTAATTGATATACCATATCGCAATAGATCAAGTCTAGTCTGTATGTAGATTCATTAATAACAAGGTGCTACTTATTTTAAAAATAAATAAATAAATTTGGAAAATGTTGTCAAAGATTTACAGAAAAACTTACTTTTGATATCAATAATTCAGACTGTGGCCACTGAACTTAGATGTCAACGTCGCATGATAAAACTCATCTCAATAATATCCGGCGAAGCGTATACCTTTCTCTTGGCAATACAGTCACGAGGTCAACGAGTCTCGTACACGTCAGACAAATACGGAACTGCGGCACATGTGCAAATGTAATACATATCAAATGATCATCGTATTTTTAGCATCATTTTGTTGTCTTATACAAAGGGAATTGAAGAAACTATATATTTAATTACTTTTCAAAACTGATTATTTTTTATAAAACTCGATTATATTTAAACTATTTTTAGTTTTAGTAAGTTTGCAAATAAGTATGTCTGGTCAAAAGTAATTATTACAGCTTGATCTTCATTCTATTTCTTAAGCCGTATTTTAAGGCCTTAACAAAAATTTATTTCATTAAAGCTTAAATTTGTTTAAACATTAGTATAGCAGTGTTAATGCTGATTAATGCCTGATTAAATTTTAGTTTTATTATGTAAAAAAATCATTTTTTGACATGCTTTTTATATCAATGAATATTTTAATATTGAATGGTTAAAGTTGAATCATTTTATTTAGTCACTTTTGCAATCGTTTAAATTTTACTAGAAAGGAATAGCACTAAATGATACTTTGCACTGAAAAGTGACTTTTTGTTACAATCATTTATACTTTCAGAAAACCAAATGAGATTTTAAACAAATAGATATTGACTGAAAAACTTGAACATATTAAAAAATATTATAGTTTATAAGATTCAAATTTAACTGTATGCAGAAAAAATTATATTTTGTATAAAAAAAAACAAATCAAGTATTATTATTTTTTATATTATGTTTTTAAACATTTCTCTGTTTACAAACATCACAATTATATATTACTCTTATCACGTTATATTGCAAAAACAACGATTTACTTCCCTCAAAATAGGTCAGTAATACAAAGTCCAAAGGATTGATTCAATGCAATATTACACAATGTACACAACAGCAATTCATATTAGTTTCATTCTGAAATTTAGTTCATAAAAACTTATTCACAAAAAAATACAGTCATAGGAAAAGTTATTTTTTACTTATATTGATCTAATCTATGAAATGAATGTACTAGATATGATAAGATAGTTTATCTGGTACAAATATTAAATATAAGCTGTACATATATACATAAGAGCATTAAAAATAATTAATTTGGTACCATTCATGCTTCTAAAGCAACAGGCTCTTGCGATTTGCTTTTTGCTTCTGTAAAAAAAATAAAAATATCAGAATAAAAGTTTGATTGCCCCAGTTGAATATAAAAATACCTTTGTCCTTATAAGGTTCGTGTTCAGGTACATCTGGCAATGGTACATCTGTTGTAATTTCAGGTGTTTTTAGTTCAGCATCTTCTGTTATCAATGCATTCAGTTCAGCTTCAACGTCATCTTCATCTACTTCAGTTAATTCACCATATAGAAGCGCATTAATTTCTTGTTGTTTTTCAACACCTTCTTTTGTCTCATCCATAACTTTTTCTATATCATCAATTGATAGTAGAGCATGTAATTTTTTGAGAGCTTCATTACCAACTTTAAGGCCATCAACAACTTTTGTTTCAACTTGAGCGAATTCAATATCATGTACCATTCGTTCTAGATTTTCTAATTGACCATCTGTTTTGACAAGAATTTGTTCCTGGAATTTTTTCTTGCGTAACAAAAGAAGTGCACGGCTGAAACAATATTAATGATTTTATTTTATTTATAAGAAATCATAGAATATATTATCTAATTAATATAAAATTAATATCAATGATATTAACAACAACGACATTAAGATTTAATTATTTTATAAAGTGGAATATAAGCTCAATCAAAAATTTCCAAAGTTTAATATAAAGGTTAGGATTAAAACAATTCAATAACTTAACTGAAACCTTTTTTGGCTATACATATAAATTAGATAATTAAGAATATTAGTAAAATGACTCACTCTTTTTGATTCTTTGTTAATAATATTTTTGCTATTTCTCTATCTTTTTCAATGTTTTGTTCAATTCGTTTTTGATACACTTTCAATTTATCTCTTGTTTGCTTCAATTGCTATGTTGATTAAAAACAAAATAAATATTATTTACATTTAAAATAAGGTTAAGTATTTAAAGAATTATTGCACGTATTTACCAAAACTGCTTTATCTTGATCTGTAACGCGACTAGATTGTTTCTTTTTCGAAAAGAATATTCCCATATTTGAAATTTTATTTTTAATGGGGAAAGGAGTAATAACTTTTTCTATAATAGTCAAGATTTGCAGGTTACATGACAATTATCAAGCTGGATTCATCCAAGCCTAAGATAATATCAAGACTATTAGACTATAGGCTCAGATACAAAAAAAGATGTTTTATCTGCCATCCAGTGCGGTCGGTAAAGTACCATTGCTAGTTATGTTACATCCTATTTTATCGATACATCTTGATCACTCAGTAATATCCCTCCCTCTTCTTATTTTATTATGAAACATGAAAGAAATATATGGATACCCTGTTGAAGGTTGAAGCATTTTATTCGTGATGATTAGCTGAGATATGGTGAAGTGATATAATGTTATATGATGGCAAATAAGCGTGCATGTATAGTCTCGAACTGATATTTTAATGGTAAAAATTCTATTTACCATAATTAATACGAATCATTTAGAAGATAATAAAAGTAAAGAAAAATAAACTGTAGTCATGTTATTGTTTTAATACTTATTTTATAAAACTAACAGCGAGTAAGTGGTTTCGTAAAAACAAGAAGTTTTACTTTGAAAATGTTCTGATTATTTTCTATTACTAATAGGGAATCTGATTTTGTAATGTGTACGATTGAAATAAATGCTGTAACGTCGCATCATTATTCAAAGAGTAGGATAAATGTTTAATAGTAATTTAACTCGTATAGTTAAAAAGAATTAAAAGATTATTTATAGTAGTTTTTAATATGATAATGAATTATATGATTATGAATTTAAGAATACGCGGAACTGTTTTACTAAATACACATTTTTACACTGTAATAATTGTTTTTTTTTTAAACATTGAAAAATTGACATTTGAAAAAAGTAATTTCTGTTAAATATGTTAATCAATAGGATAAGATATGAAAAAAAATATATATAAGAGCACGCAGAGTGCGTTTGATATCATTGGTTTAAATAAAAAACAAAAAATTTTCAGTTTTACATATCCAATCAGGTGTTATAAAATTATAAATTTAAAAATGGAAAAAGACAAAAGAAATTATTTAGCTGTGGAGGTTAAATATAAATGTAATGTTTTAAAGAGAACAGTCGCAAACATCCGACGTTGTTATTGGTCGATGAGAAAAAAAGAGTATAAAATTTTAAATGTTCGTATACTTTGAAATAATTGCATTATAAATCTAGAAGTATGAGATTTATATTTCAGCAGTAAATTCAATTAATGAATAATAAAAAAAACAATAATCTATAAAATGGAAATATGTTGCTAACAAATTGTTTCAAGAAAATAGCGGTTATATTTTTAAATTATTCGTATAAATCAATAATTTTATAACCATCTGTAAGATTAAAATTAATATTGCTTTAAAATTTTATTGAAAGAAAGAAAAAATTTGAAGAATGTTCACGAATGTTTTTAACAAGGCAATAAATGATGTTAATGTATTACTAATACTAATCATTCATACTAATATAATAATGTGGCCGTAACCACTATTGTATATGTACAGTTTAATATTGTATAATATAGTATAATAGCTCAGTGCATTTTATCGGTTATAGGTTTGATTAATCTTTTAGATAGTTTTTCCATTACATTTTGAAATGAGTGAAAATTCATCGGTTTTTGTAAAAACATCGGTGCAAATTTTTATTTATCACAGAATATTTATCGACGTAGTGTATTTGAAACAGCATAATTTATATATGCATAAATACTATTAGAATTTCAAAATTGCCATGTTAAAAGTTCAAATAATGAAATTAATAACAAAAAAAAACATAAAAAAAGAGTGTTTATTGTAACACCAGTATTATTTAGATGCAGAACTGATTTTAAGGATAAATGGAATTTTATCACGTTGCATTACATAAAAAATTGTAAATTTACAAACATTAAAAATACAAAATATTTCTTTTATCCAGATAGATAGGTACTCCTTATCGTTTTATTGCAATAAAATTGGATCAAAGATAAATAAATGATATAATAGATATGGATAGTATGGTAAATAATTGGAAGACTTTCATCAGATTGAATTGAACAATGTCCATTATATTATATATTTTATTCCCACATACACACGGCACGTTGTGAACCTTTTCTTAAATATTAATAATATCATAATTATAATAATATTCATCATCATCGTCGTGTCGTCTTCGTCGTCGCGATAATATAATAATCATAGTTTCAATTAAAACAATAATAAACGTAATAATATAAATTCATTATATATAAATACATATTCATACACATACACATATGTGTATATATATGTATATATATGTACATACAATATTATATTATATTATATTTATAGTATATATAATAAATCATATAATAATCATTATATTATAGTATATATATTAATATGTACAGAGGGATACAATATTGTTATTTGTTGTATTAGTGTCATATTTATAATCGCCATATTGTATTTATTTTTGTTTGTATACATACACAATTGATTATTAAATTTACGACCCCCTTGTTTACAAGTAACTCAATGTGAAACTTGATGTATCTTTTTTAATATTTTATATTTTCGAGGATTTTATTTCATGCTTTATATATTAAACGTTTTTGATCTCTTCCTCGCAAGTTCTCTCACGCATTCTCGTTCTCTCTCACTCTCGTATATCTTGCACTCCGGCTATCTTTCTTTCGCTAACGAATTGAATTTACGCCGTTATCGCTTTTATCGAAATTTCTTATGAAAAATCGAATAGATCTAATACTGAAAAACGACTCGGCTCGGTACTTGTCTTGTGCATCTAACGCGCTTTATTATTTCTCACCAGCTCCATTATTGAAGTAGTCGCATTTTAAATGGTGGTGCAATTTTTGCACACATTAGGGTAATTGCAACAGTTTGCATTTACTTGCCTTACTTTTTTTCTTTCCTTTTTCAATATTTTACAAAACATCCACTAATAGTCTGGCCTACTGTTTTCAAAATGAAAGTCGTGTACCGATAAAAAAACGACGCTCATAAAAAATAATGAGAAATCTCGCACTTTTTAACATTTATTATTTTTCATTTATTTTTCATTAAAATTTAAAAATCTAAAATAGGCGAATTTCGCGCAAGAATAAAGATAATTGATGGTATTCGTTTGCTTAACAGTTATAAGGATTCTCATACCTTATATTCTCTTTTGTGTTATTGAATTTACTTCTCGCAGAATAATCATATTATACACGTGTTGAAAATATGGTGTTGAATAATATTTGAAAACACATTTTATTCATAAAGTATAGTAGCAATATTAGATAAAGCTTAAATTGCCATCGATCGACTCTCTTTCGGCAATCTTTTAAAAGGCAGGCCTCTTCATAAATATTCTGTACAGCATTATAATTATTATAAATCATTGTATTTTATATGTCGCTTACACCTATGCCATTATTATCAGTAGTGTAAAATTGAAACATTGCGTACTTAGATTTAGATTACCTTCCGTTTCTTTGTTAAACATGTGTTTATTATGATCATGTCTATTTTTTCATATTGATCACGATACAGCATTGCGTAATTTTCTTTTTAATATGCAGCTATTCATACTGTATGATTAGTAAGAAGATGTAAAATTGGTATTTTGTCGTTTCTTTGTGTTCAATTCAAAAAATCTTATTTAAGCATTCACATAAACTTATAATATACAGTTGAATTGAGAGCAGCCTATTTATTGCTTGTTATATTGCAAATATCCTCGCTATGCCTTTTTTTTGAGCATATTCCAATCGACATACATATATCATAAATTTTGTAATCATCATTTCCTCTTATTTCTAAGTTTTTTTTTTAATTCAACATTTTTGTTACTTATTCGCTTCAATTTTGTAAGTTACTTCCGAAAAAAGATACGCATGAAAACATTATAATGAACAAATATTTTCACAAATTACGTTACATGTCCCTCGAATAGATGATGAAAAAACGATTTTTATTCTCACCATACTCTATATTCTCTAAGTCTGATTATTGCACGCGTGATTCTGATGATACTTGAATAATTATATTTTATAGAACAATATTATAAATTTATGGTATATTTCAAGCAAATCAGTGAATCAGATGAAAACAACTTTCATTATAATTATAAATTCATAAAATTAGTTGCAATACTAGTCTTAAAAAATCAGTATTTTAAATTTATATTATTTTTTGGATAAACGATAAATAATGCAGAATTTTTTTGACGAATATTTTGACCCTTTTGAAAAAAAATCATATGAACGATTTTGTTTTTTTAGCCTACTGCGCGTAAAGTGTGTTTTGAAACCTAGGTATCAGGTTTTACAATGTGCATTTTACGCGCTACAGGCAAAAAATAGTATATTAATCACGGAAATGAAAACAGCAAGCTCCTAGCACGTATTTAACACACTCGGCTTCGCCTTGGTAGTTAATTTACACGTGTTATGGTTTTGCCAATACTTTCACTCCCTTGGTTAATAATGTACTAATTTCGTAGAAATGCAGAACAAAGTCCACCAACACTTTGATACCTGCTCACATTACACAGTTTACACAGTACAATTAATGATTGATCTAGTAGATCAGTTTGATATGTTAAAAGTCAAAATTAATCAAATTGAATTATAATATTAACTTTAATATCAGTATTATACGCAAATAAACATAAAATTGACAATCAAAATATATTTTTATCAAAGATCTAAACAGTCGTTATCCATTTTCATTCGTTTATATCAGCTTTGTTATTTATTTGAGTATTTAATTGACTATTAATTCTTATTAGGCTTTTAAAATTTCCTTTCTTTTCGATATTACATAATTATGTATATAGTGGAAAGTTAAAAGTGTCTCATTACTTAACTCAGTAAAAATTATAAAACTATCAAATTAATATTGCTTTGGTTTGACATTTGCAAGTGAAACATTTCCAATCTGTGTCTGTGCAAAGTTAACTAATTTTAGGTCAATTAAAAAATATTTCTAACAAAGTTTTGTTAATAAATGTTTCAAATGATAAATTTATTATAATCAGACGAATTAACATACGGATTCTATAAAAGAAGTAAACAACCACTTTGTTTGATTGACAAATGTATGCAAATTTATTTTAAATCCTATTTTTGCGCTTGTACAGAAATAGCTATATGCGGTATATAGTGAATTTAGAATGATTCATAAAGGTTCATAAAAAATAAGAAATAAATTATAAAAAATCATGAATGAACACTCGTTTAAAAACGGAACAATTACTGATGTGTTATTAATTTCACAAATAAAAAAAGACTAAGAATGAACACAAATAATTTACAATATCTATATTTTAATATTACGGTTTTGTAAAAACACATTTTTTCAACTTTTTTAAAACAATTATTTTTTTATTGTATACAATAAAGAATCTTATTCATAATTAGTATTTTGCGCCCAAGCTATATAATGATATTTTGATGGCAATTTTTTTAAACCGAGTGACAGGCGTTATATGCTCTTATATATTGCATAAGTTCCAACAACTTCTCAAATGATAAAAAGCATATGACTTCCGATTTAACAAAGATTACGGTAATTTAAAAAAAAATATATAGTAACATCGTGGAGATGTATGTACAAAAAAATCATTTAAATCGCTACTTTTTTCTATATTTCGTAACACTGTGAATTATATCACTCTTTTCGCATTCCTTTACATTTTTTCTCTTATTTTTAATCACTTTTTTAACTATCTATATTTTCTCTCACTTTCTTCCCGGTACTTCTGTTTATTATCCACGCAGTAAATATGTACATGCATTCCATCACGTTAAACGCACTATTTCATCGACATGTTTGTTAATTTGTCACAAAAACAACTTAAAAATGCGGACAGAAAAATTTTAATATATTCTGTTCAAAGTATAGAAAATTTCATTACAAGCAGAAGATAATTAATCTGTGAAAACGGCCAGGTTCATTTCTTTCAGATATTCACTTTACATGATCTAATTACACACAAGCTTTTAAATTTTTTAAATTTTGTTTTAATTAAACAGAAAACTTAAATAGTATTTATTAAAAATAAGATTTTTGCAGGAATAAATAAATATTTGAAAGAATTACATGTATAAAATTTTGTTCATTAATAAAAACTGATCAAATGTACGATTATTTCATATAGAATATTTTATACAAATTAATCGTTAATTTTTTGGTAAAAAAATATAATGTCAGATAATATTTTATTTTTTAAAATAATATTTTATTTCTCGTGTTTAAGAGAAAAGCACTATTTTAAATAAATCAAATAGAAAATTCCTGTCCAGTCAAATCACATGTAATCGGAATCTGTACAAAATGAACCTTGTCATAATCAGATAATCGTAATAATTTTGACTTTCAGTTTCTTAATGACAAAATATTATACGTTCAATTAATTATCACGAGTCGTATTAAATTAGTGTATAAACGATGTTTAAAAAACATTTAACTCTCATGTGTCTCTCATGTGCAATCCTATATTCTTTAATTATTTCATTAATTTTTTTGCAATCATGAGGAACTAAAATTATCTTTTCGAGATCGGGACTGTGTCTAAAATGAGCTTTAAATGAGCTCTAATTAATACAATAAACGCATTTTAAAAAGATGTACAAAAATGATTTAAATAATGACGAGATAATGATGATTATAATTATGATTTAAATGTATATCAAAGATAAGTGAATAGTATTCTTTTTAGAATTACGGGTAAATAGCTATTAAGAAATTATCGTAATTCTTAAGTTTGTTGAATAAATCAATTGAAAATAACTAGAGTTTAACAAGAATAAAACTGAAAATCATAAAGATAGTTTATCAGTTAAAGTCTTAGGATAAAATAATAATATTCCTCACAGAAATACGTATGACGTATTTTATAGTGTTGGAAAAGTTTCAACGACAAATAATAATAATATAATTATTAAATAGTGCGGTCTTTTAGTGACGCGCTTGCGAATTGTCAAAAAAAGTACCTATCTAGCTACGTTTTCTCTTTTAGTCCACTTTTCTCTTCACCTTCAATAATAATTGTCCTACTTTGATGATTACCTTTTGTGTATGTAGTCAATTCTTGAAAAAGGCTTTCATTCTCATTCTTGGTTTTGCATACAAGAAAACAAACATAAGTAAAAAAATTAACATTACACATGATATATCGCATTGTTTGCCCGACTTGGAATATTGTTCATTATTTTCTTTCTCTGTTTCAAACTAATCTAGACGTTTCCTAACTTTATTACATCAAATTCGATTCAAGGACTATATGCGGTAAATTTCTTTAGCTTTTATTTTAATTCATTTTTTTGAATGATCGACAGTGTCGGATCGATTATGTGATGGAAGTATATTGGCCAACATACAAAATTGGAAAGTGCTCAGATATTGAAATATACTCAATGTATTTCTATACAAGTTCACGTAATGTTACATGTATTCATTCAAGAGGCCGATCGTTAATATTCTTAAAATTTGATATTTTATCAAAATTTTTAAATGAATCTAATAAATATTAGTATTCTTGATTGTGATATAAATCAGCTTGGTACTGCAGCATCCTGAATTCAGATCGGTGAAATATTTAGAACATATAAATTAAATGTCAAAATTATGGTTATTTTCTTTTTCAAATAGACAAAATAATACCTAGTGCAAAAGTTCACATTAAAAAAGACAATCAGTTTTATCAGTTTTCTTAACGGCATATGTCAACGAATACTAAATAAACTTATTATTTTCGTATTCGTGAACTTATATTATTTGCATGCATAATTTCTGAACAATGTCCCATTATGCAAAGTTATAAAATAATTACTATACTGATTTATACGACAGTGTACTTTACCTATCTATAAAATTTTTATCATTCAAGCCCTTTTTCATTTAAAAATCCTGCACAAATTTGATTCCATAATATTGACTGGTCATGACAAGCAAGATTAGTAGGATCGCGACCCGATAAAAAATATTTTTAATATTGCTTTTTCATTTGTAGATTTTTAATAAATTACGTATTGAACTAGTCAAAACGTATTATAAAAAGTTCTTTTCCTTAATTTATAGGTTTTTTTTAAATCGAGAACCTTCGCTGGACAGGGCATACAAATTGATTAATATTCAGAATTACAGTGTCATTATAGATGATGTATTTATTGCCCGTTGAGCATTTTTCACTTGTGGAAGGTATCATTAACATTTTTGCATTACATAAATACATTAAATTAATAATCTAACATAATCGATCAGAAAACTTCATTTTCTTAATTATTCTTATCTGCATAAATTGTAACTAAAAAATGTTATGATCTTTTTTCAGGACTATACAAAGTCACTGTAAATTTTTTTTACAATACGTGCAATAATTTTGAGCACAAAAAATCAGTAATGATAACTACATAAATTTAGTTATTATTTTTGTAAAGTAAATTTTATTCTATCCATTCCGTCATCAGTATGTTTGCAATAACTTTTATTGAGCCTTTCATATATGTGTGTCTGTGTGTGTGTGTGTGTGTGTTCATACTATAATGTATATTTATATATGTATATATACTGTAGTGAGAAATAGGTGAGATTCGACATCAAGTGGTAGAACTCATGCTTTTTGTTTTTCTACTCATTACATAATTTAATAATTATATTTTTTAATATTTCCGTAAAAAAAGAGTTTTCAAAAGAGGTTTGCTAACACCGCTTGACGAGTCCTGTCACCAAACTCACATAATTTCTAGCGTTCTTTTCTTACTGCATTTTTATTTAAGTGTTTTTCGTGTGTGATTGAATGTTTGATAATTAAATTACAGTATAATAGCATATTAGCTTTAAAACATCAATAATTATATACAAATGCATAAAACAATTTTGCAATATTTTATTCATCTTTGCCATGGTTGTTTATTAAATTTATTCGTCTTAGACAAGAACCATATATATTTTTGTTTTCTTATAATTTTTTATATTTATATATGTATACGCTCGTATATGTACTAGATGTAGATTATTGAGTATAATATTTCATCATTATTTATAAACGCGTGAACTTCAGCCATACTAATTTCAGTTTTTCATTTTTACGCTTTTTTGTTCATTAACTTCAGTGGAATTTCTCAATAGTTTTGTTTATATTTTAAAAGTTCCATTGTATTTGCCATCTTTTATAACATCCTTGTTTTCATTATTATTCAATTGTCCTTATTTACCGAAATGTAAATGTATACATATATTTTTATATATTTATATATTTTTATCTATATTTCTGTTGATTTTACAGGAGGATCTTGGACGACTTTTTTTAATGAAGACGTATCTTGTACTCAACGCCCGATATATTTCTGGCTTGATCATTTTACCCTTCTTATATCTATCATTTATTTTTAAATCGTGTTGAAACAGTTCTTTCTTAAACAGTATATTAATATATTGGAAGTTTTATTAAAAAAATGTTTTTTTTTATTACATGTGATGGGATTAAAATCAAATATCATAGAGACGGAGAAGAGAAAAAATCAAGATAGTTACTTTAATCTTTTTAACATTTTTTGACATTTTCATTTTGCTTTTATCATTGCATTTATGCTTCGTTATTCAAGTCGTATGCATGATTATTCTTATTGCCATTTTAGTTGATTTTTCCTATTCTAGTTTTTACTTCAATCTTATAGGCTCTATATTTCTACGACTGGTATTCATCTTGTGTTACTGATAAAAATTTTTAAATTAACTGGTGTTTTATCTTCAGATTTTGGTATCTTACCATGTTGCTATATGTTATTCACTATAACGCACATTTCCTTTATTTTCATTAACAAACTTTCAAATGTACAATGACTTACACATTTGACTTTTAAGTAACCGTGTTTATCGACACTGCGATAATAAATTTTTATCAAATCAATTCAAACCTAAATCATATAAAATCTAACCATCTAAACTGATTTGTAAAAATATTCAACATTATCTGAGAGAAGACTGGCAATATGCATTCGTGTCGGAAAAAATCGTAAATTGAAACGCTACGACGTTTAAACGCATCATAAGTTTGCATTTGTTTACTGAATTTTTTGCTCGTACAATGCAATTCAATATTTTTTTATTCACCGCATTCTTATAATTGCAAAGATATTGCTGGATACCACAATTGGTTCAATACATACAATTTTTTACAAGAATTTATTGTTAAAATTAGGATGTACTGTTGTAGCATTCCATTTCGTTTTTCCTTGAGTAAACAATTAACTTTGCTGTATAGAGCCTGACTATCCCAACTATCGAAAAAATGTATCCAATTTGATTGGTTTTTCCTAAATGTTAAATACGGTTCATTACATTCAGCGGCATATATTTCTGTTGAATGTAGAATTAAATTTAAACTATAACGGGAATTTAATATCTACATTAAGTTGGCTCACGACTACTTTTTGTTTACCTTGTGTTTTTAGGCTTTTACAAGAAATTGACATTTTATTGCATATCTGTTACTTTTATTAATAAAAATCTATATTTGCAGGAAGAACGAAATGGTCGCTATTCAAAAAAGTACATATCCTGGAAATTGTTCTAGTTTTGTTTACCCTGTCTCTGAATATAATTATAATCATATTTTAATCATCATAATTCATTAATTTACTTATTCATAGATTCATCGCGATAATGCTCATTTTCAACTCTCAATAGTAATTATAATAAATGTCAATAATAATAATATTAGTAATAAACAGTTATTGCATAAGAACGAAAAAGTTCAATCACTTTCACGCCCAATTCATTACCATATTTTTCAAATATCAAATACCTAATTTCTTAGAATTCTAATCTCCAAACTGTATGTAATTGTCGCACACGATAAATTTACAATCCACATCATTATTATCACACATTTAAAAAATTTCTTCGCCCGTACTCTCCATGAAATTTTCCGTCAAATTTAGAATTCCCCGCTAATGCATAAAATATGCAGTGGAAAATGTTCTAAATTTGAACATTTAGTTAATCAAGCAATATTAGCGAGAAATTTTTTTAATTCTTATCGATTTCGCATATTTTACTGGGTGGAATTTAATATTTTACTTCGTTCTTTAATTTTGGTCTGTTCCGTTATGTTGAACTTTCTACTCTTGCATTTCATTCAAACGATGAAATAACATATCTCGATAATATCCCTATCACTTTTCTATTATCATAAAAAATACTATTATCATAGTATTCTTATCTTCATTAAGATCCTTGCATTTGTTAACTCTTCCTCAGCGTCACATTTGATTGTAACGCGTTTAAAGTTCAAGTTAAAAAATAACTTAAAATAAACAAACATTAATTTATTTTTACAGTAAAAATGACAAAAATTCGTTAAAAATAACACGATAAAAATGATTCTTTTAATAACTCTTATACCATCCTTATCATAGTATTGATAGTTGTGTAAGAAACTTATGACACTTATGTAGTATTAAAATGTGCAGGATCAAGATCTTAACCGTGTATACGTGGAGAGGGGTCCGCTGAAAGGTCTCAGCTTTATATTGCATGAATATTTCAATTTCTTTTTACATTCCACTAATATACTAATTTTTTTTTAAATGATTGATTCGTTATCATACCTATCTTATCAAACGTTTCAGACTTTCTATAATGTAATTTGTAATTGCCAATTTTTAAGTTTTATTTGACAACTATGAATTGCATTATATCATTCAAAATCTTATATTTTTTCAACTATTATAATAGTTGATTTTACCCCTCTCCATACTTATGTCAATTATTTTCCTGTATGCGGGCCCATTAATTGTGTTTAACGTTACATATTAATTGCACAAAAAACGTCAAACATTAGGACCTATATTTTGGGCGTGAACGGACGCGTGAATGCATGTGGGTATACGTGTCTAGATGTCTGTGCTTCTTTCAACTATCATCATAGATACTTTTAAAAACGATCCTCCTCATTTGTAATGTTAAATACAATGATTACATTTTTTGCGGATTTTGTCATTTTTCCAAGTTATTTATTTATCTTCCGCTTAATCACTAAGTATATTTATGAATTATTTAATTAATTTGTTGTTCTGTTACCATTTGTGATTCACCGGTATATGCGTATATATTTAAAAACTTCTTTAATATTTTCCGTCAAATATATATTCACATACGCATCATATAATTAGCCGCTTATCTATTTAGCGATTAGTAATAATTGTTATCATTATTTAATTCATTATTATTTTAATCATTATTATTTAATTCATTATTATATTATTACTAGTATTAATTATTAATGTCGGAGAACGGGCTAGCGCCAAATTGCAGATTCGGTCGCGGTGGAGAAATTTACTTCCGATCATATTTCTCTGCGTGAAACCAGTCCTGCAGTCAACAATAATTGTTGATTTGCATAAACTTATCAATAGTCTCATACCATATTTTTCTCTGATACAAAAACGATTAAATCGTTCAGCGATAAATAATTGTTCGCTTTCTCGGCACAAATACCTTCATTTTGTGTGCCGAATATCACCGTTTCTCATCTCGCTTTTGATATCTTCTCGGCCTTATTTATTTTCGCAATTATCCACGTATATATCTCGATCAACGGGTCGTGGTTACTTTTAAGAAAATTAAAAATTTATTTTTCACAAAAAATTCTCTCTTATTACGTATTTTTCCAGGTTCATAATAAAATCGCTTCCAGCCTTTTTTTGATCCTGACCTTCGTATCATTCTCCACTTCTGACTCGATGGTTCGTTCATTCTCGTATCCTGCGACCGTCTCCATCATTACAAACCAGATCCCGTTGTGGGCTCCTCGCGAAGTATATGTGTGTATGTAATTGTTTTTGTTTATTTATTCGCGAGCCGTTAGTCACGTCTCGCTTGAAATGTAATGCCGTCAGTTGACCATGTTGCGCTCTGCCCTCTCGTCCATTCTGTGAAACAATTCCAGCAGTTGTTTGACTTTTCTTAACTACTTCAACAGATACCAAATTTTTCTGTTTAATTTAAATTTATTGAAAGAAGTTTTAAATGAAAATTTCATTGTGGATACTTACCTGATGTTAGGTCGTATCAAGGCTCAATGGTAGCCGTTAGTGAATGCCGCTGGTATCAGAGGACCCTAAAACAGGACATTAATTTTAATTAGCAACTAATCTATATTATTTGTATAAAGAATATATCTGCCAATGAATGAACAATATATAAATTCGCGGATTTGCGGCCTTTGAAAAGAATTACGCAGAAGTAATTTTGTGTTGCGAAAATACAATATTTTCAATGGAAGTGAGTGCCGAGGTGACTACAACAAAAATGTGAATAGGGCCTGCAATGACTCGGTCGGTAAGGCGACGGACTCGCACCCGGTGGGCCCGGGTTCGATTCCCAGCTCTGCTGATTGATACAAGCACCACTGAAAAAAAGTTTCATGTACTTTGTTCTCAAACACCTTGCCAGCCTCCATCGATGATTAGCGCCGATGGAGCATAGATAGAGAGACGTTAAACAAAATAAAAAAAAAACAAAAATGTGATCTCAAAATATCCCCATAGCGAACCAACTATGTACGCGTTCCGCGTGGATGTAGAAAAACATATGAACAGAGACACAAGAACACTCCTGACTAATTGAAGTGCAGTCCCGTTGACAGTCGAATGATTCGTCCATGAAGGGTATACGAACGAGGTGTACCACCCTAGAGGGTTATCGTGCGGTTCCATCTATCGAAGATGGGCGGGGCATCGCCCGACACTTATGTGCATATGAGTTTCGGAATCATGAGCTGTGTGCGTGCAATACGTCAGATTATTATTGCAATGTCATCGGTTATTAACCTTAACAAGATATTTGTTTTCATAGTGCATTCACGATAATAAGTCATCGTTCAGTTTTCTCTATATAAATGTTACTATGTGAGAATGCAAATAAAAAATTGACAGAAATATTGTGCCTTTTAAGCAATCATAATCATTGTCCATCAAGCCAAAAAATTAATTGCTTTAATCTGTTCGTGTGATTGAAAAAGATTAATTCCAATATAATTAGCAGAGAGAAAGCAATTTGCCAAAAATTATTGGAAGAACGTTGCGATTAATTTGCAAAAAATAAACTAATGAAAAAATTGATCGCTCGTTAAGCCATAGACATTATTTTATTTTCACTTCGGATTTTCACTTTGTTCACTGCAAGGCCAACACTATTGGGAGTTTTTATGAATACCCAGCTGACATTTTATTATAGCTGGTATTGATGACTCTTTAAAAATAAAGTTGGAAAAGAAATCCAAATATATTTGAGTGATATTGTAAGACAAACAAAGCAAGAACTTACGGGACTGTAATTAAGCGGAGCTCGCGAAACTGCAATCGCTGGGAAGGCGGTGGTGGGCGGTTGCGGGCTCGCAGCCGCCTGAACGTAGCTCGCGACCGCCGAATCCGCGGCAGCTGCGGCCGCTGCTGCAGCAGCGCTCGAACTGTACATGTCGATGGGTCCAGGTGAATTAGCCGCCGGGAAAGAGCGGCCCTGAGGACCGCCGTGGCCACCGGCTCCATGGGGCGACGCCGGCGGGAAGCCGGCCTGCGCTGCCGCCTGATAGTTGTTCATCACTGCAACACATCGCCATCCATTACTGTCTGCTATGATTTTTTAATTAAAAAACTTTAGTTATCGATGTAACAATACTTTAGATTATTTATATTCTGGTTTATTCGCAACAGAAATTTTAATTTAAGTCGAGAATATCAAATCAATTTGGTTGGTGATTGTGTGGAAAACCCTCTATGATGAAACGTAATTTTGTTTCCAATTATAATCTTCAATCAATGTAATCAAAGCTAATCAATTGCTAATTACCATGTTTGTATATATGACATTGAAAATTGTTAGTGTCGTCAAACTATATAACTTTCATTGCATTTAAAATAATTAGTTTCAGTTTGGCTAAATGAAAAAGTTTTCTCATTCGCTCAATATCGAAAAGAAAAACAACCGTGAAAGCGTATATCGTGCGTAACAGCAGTGCTGTATAAATTTTTACCTTTAGAAGAACATTAACAACAACAACAACAATAACAGTAGCAACAACAGCGATAAGCAATTCTTTTGTGAGGCAGCTGTTGCAAACAGCCAACCCGTTATCGACGTTTCATAGGTGCATGAGCGGATATTATCGTGCGCATCAGCTATTCACAAAATATCACTCAGCCGAACACGTGATGTCCTGAAATATCTCACGTCGAGTGCGTGGGGAAAGAAGCTCTCGAAAGTCATATTGACGCTACAGCTTAGTTAATCAGCACGAGTGAGTGTATTTGAATTATTAAAGGGTTGTTGACAATGCAAAGTAGATGGATACGCTACGGATGTTTGGTGCACAAGGTATAAAGGATACTATACGTTGAGTCCATACAAATACTTCAATTTTGAACGTAACAGCATAAATTATTGAGGTTAATTGACAAAGGTTGTATTGTTGTTGTAGCATCGTTGAATGTCAAAAGAAAAGTTACTTTGCTTGTAAAAGTAAGGGCAATTTCGTATAGTAGCGTAGAAATAATCAATCAGCTCTCTCGTGGAGAAAAGCGGAGAAAAAGCACGCGGCATAGAAAAGGAGCTACCGTAGCAAATGACCCGCAAAAGAATCGGATAAATACGAAAATGCAACGCGCAATATTCAGGACTATAAGAGCTCCGCGGGTCGTATAAAAAGGGAGGAGGGCGAGGAGCGTGAGTTGATATGGATGGGCAAAGCGATCGCGAGCAATCCAAAAACCCATTCGGCTTTTAAACTCTTGACAGTGCCAGGGCTGCGAACGCGCGTTACAAAGTTTTTCCGCTGGCGAGTCTCGAAGGTGGCGGCGCGATTCGAAAGTTTGATTTATTTGAGAGGAGATTGCGGATGGCATGGGAAAAGTCCGATATCGAAAGAGGAAGGAGGATAGGCTTTATCGGCGACGCCGTGACTACTACTTCCGACCCGCACCCTTCTCTCCCCTTCTCCACCCGTATGCACAAACCGATGGAAACCAATACGTATATGTGTGTTCGTGGATGGACGATCACCCTTCTCTATCCCGCTACCTCCACCCTCTCTACCGGTACGCTTTGAAAGACTTCTTTGGTCGTATTAAGTACTTTTGCCCGCTCGTAAATAATGCCGCTTGTTCCGGCGGAACTTTTTCTCGGGTTCTCGTTGTACACGCTTTTGTTATTTGGATTAGGACTGGCTGATCGTCGCCATAAGCAAGTTCAAATTTAATGAAATGCTTCGATTTTCATGTTGTTGCAGTGCTTTAAGATTTAACATATGATTTCCGTTTAAAAAAGGATTTCAGATACGTTTCTCTGATTTTTACAAAACTTTAATATTGAAGATATAATTATTTTAAATGCAAATTATTCTAAATAAATGCAAATTGAGCACCTATCAAAGTAAACATGTATTGAAGTGATATTCGAACGTACCAGAAAGTGCTTGCGTTAGCAAGGGTGTGTTGTTGTTAGGAGTGAGTTGCCCATTGGTAAGATCCACTGAAACACAAAACTCTTATCATAATCGTTTCTATTACTTGTTTTTGTTTTCTCTCTCAAATTATTTTGTTGATTCTTTTTTTCTAATCTTTCGATTTTGACACTCTATATTTGTTAAAATCAAAATGAATAGCAAAATGATTTAAGAATACTGAAAATTTGAGGATTCGCGTTAGTCCAATGTGTTGATAGTTAGTGACTTTTTAAATTCTAGGAACGACAAATATGAAATTGTATTTGAAGCTACAGCATTCTATTCAGATTAAAGATTTGATCTATTAGATAGAAGAATATACTAATTTTATTATAAATCTACGGCTGATTTAAACATGTTATATTACTTCAGTTAATTTCAAATGATTATGAATTGATGATTTTAATGTTGAACATTTTTTTAAATGAATGAAGCTATAAATTTTACTGGTTCGATAATATGAAATGATGTATCAATTGTTTATGTTTATATAACAAAAATTCTTTGAATGCTAAATTATTTCTATAAATGTAGGCTCGAATTGCTCTATGAATATGAAACAGAAATCGTGTGAATGCTAGGTTGGAGTCTCGTAGAGAGAGAAAGAGAGCGATTTCGCCAGTTGTAACATATTCTTTCCTAGTACGCTAGAACAAATGTGTCAGATCTATTCTGCATTCAAGTTTTTCCCTAGTAAATCGTCAGAAATTCAAAAAACTGCAGTCTGTGATTCAAATAAAAATACCATTTAAGCTTTTCATGCAAAATTAAAATTATGAAGCCTGTGTATGACATTAGACTGAAAATAAGGTGAAATCTGATATACATGAAACGAATTGAACAATCTACTAGATAAGAAAATCTCTCATGCTTGATTAATGTAATTAGAAATTGGATTGTATGGACAGCAGTATAAAAAGAAATAAAGTATCTTTATGTATTTTTGACTGAAAAATCTAGAGAAACCTTTGAAGTTTTGAATAATCTATGACACATTTGATCTTGGAAGCAACGTGAAGAGGCGTTATAAGCTGCTGTATTGTCACTTATTGAAGTGTCGCATAGATTCGTAGATAGCGTGACTTGCACAGTAGAGGGTTATGCGGCAGTTAACAACTCGACTCGTAATATAAGCGGAAGTTGGAAATCGAATGTCGTAGTCATAACGTTGGAAATGTCAACGAGCTTGGAGCGAGGCTCGGATATATAAATGAGTTGTCATTATACAGGTGATAGGGAATGCGAGGCGGGTGTCATCGCGTCGATGAGAATTGGCGCGAGCGATAAATAGTTGGTAATACGAGTCTCGGATATGCACGAGCCTCCTTTTTACGACGTACCGATCTCATGATTATTGCAGCAATGCATTTCGGCGTGCAACGCAATAAATGAATGTCAAGCGTATGACGCTAAAATAAGAATAGCGGTCGCCATGAATATAAATTCGCGGTTAATTCATTTGCTTAATTTCGAACTGACCATCTTTTGAAAGCGGTGCTAATTCAATAGTCGCTCCGGAGAGTGCGCACGAAAACCTAGATTTTGCTCGTGCGCGCGAGCTACAAATAACTTCGGGAAGACAAGTGCTCGTGTTATCAGTCGATCGACGCGAAAATATAATTTGATCGTGCTGCTCGACGCGGCATAGGCGCATCGTTGGTATTCTTACGTCGATTTGCATTACGACTTCAGTGTGAATGTAGGCCAAGAGTTCATCTATTTTCGAGTGCGCGCGCCTGACGCAAAGGTCGATCGAGACAGCAGATAAGGACGGGCGGTATTGTGTATCTGTGTCTGCGTCAGTATATTCGCAAATATAGGGAAATGCATCTTCGCTGGAGGCTTTACTCGCGCACTATCTTCGTCTATATATACGTGTATAAAGATCTTCAAAAAATCTCTGGAGACGCGACGCTGACTGTGCACCGTTGTTCCACCGTCTATCTTTATCTCGTGGCGCCGAATTTGTGAAACCCTTGATCTTTCGAGCCTTCCAAAGATTTCCGAACATTTCCTTTTGCTTTGAAAGTACCGCCTCGCGTATCTTAGTCTTTATATATTTTTTCGAGGAGGGAGTATGCATCGAGAGAAAAGCCGACTTTATAGGAGTTCATAAAAGTCTTTGCTATGCTGATAGCATTGTTTCTTTACTATAGGCATTCAGAAGTTATTTGATTTTTTTTCATGACTAATCGTCTCTACACGACAGATCAACGAGTTTCGACCTTAAATGAAAAGAAAGTTAAAAAAGTAATTGCACGCAAACAACACATTGGACTGCTGTGAATGTGGATAGTTTAGCAACAGAAGCTCGTCAAAAAAGCTAGTGCAATATTTCAAAAACAAGATTCAGAGAATAATTGTTTGTATTTTATTTTCTTTTTCTTATAGGATTTTTACTATACCGTACACACTCACACACATAACTTAATTGTGATAATTTTGAAAATTCAAAAATGCTATGCTACACGTTTAATTTAAGATGTCGGTACTCATCTTCTATTCTAGTTTATCGCTAGTGCTATTTGTAACGGAATATCAACAGCGGTTCGATCAATCTTATCAAAATATATTTAATAAATATATTCAATGTTTTTCTACGCCTATAAAAGTCATGAGCGATGCAGTACTGTTCAACTATTAATCAATTATCAAATGTATAATTATCAAACTTCGTGTTATGCACAATTAGTTTACACATCACATATAAGAATAACTCATGTTAATATATCGTAACTATCTACTCAAAATAAGTAAGTGTACTATTCTACGACATAAAGAAAAGTAAAATAACTATTATTCTAAACGCCTATTTTATTAAAAAACTCATGGACGGGACTAGGTTTTGTAATTATAATTACAAAGTAAAGCCTCGCCACATCATGGATTTTACTAATGCGCCATTGCTAACATGACGCTCCTGTACTACAATTTCTTTGTTGTTAATTGCTATTTTAAACACAATAAAACATAGTAGTGTTAATGAAACACGTCATATAAATGGTTCAATCGATTACCTAAAACGATGATACATAATTAATGGATAACATATATTAAATTAGCGTTACACTATTATCGCAGTTTCATCTAATTTAAACTGCTGTATACACTTTGATTAACAAAGTTAGTCAAATGATAGGCTTATATAATTAAACTACAGTCACGTTCTAATATCAAATAATTTATTTAGCTTCGCAGACCTATTTATGGTATAAAATTGAATTCTACTATGAACTATGAATTTTCGTCTCCGCAGGACGATTCAGAGATAACAAGCCAAGAAATCTTAGGTGTTTTGATAGGTGAGGTAATAAGTATCATTTTGTACTACATATGTGCCATACTTGGGAGTTTTTTTTTGGATCAAAAATGTTTCAAGCACTAAAATAGTCCACATTGTTATTAATATTGTACAGTTAATAATTAGTTCAGATTTCAAAAGGTAACATATAAAAGTTACTACAAATTGCTAATGCTATTAGCTTTATTAGCAAGGCCGAAAATTCTTGAATTAATTGTAAATAGCGATGCAAACTTTATGTAATAACTTATTCTTTTATTCTATATAATTATTCAATAAAGTTTACTACGACAGATTACAAAATATCTCGTGAAATCGTCCCGCGGATGAAACACTATTCTATGTGTATAAAACTCAACACAGTGTACACGACGTTGTTTCTAATGTAAGAGACAGAAGGCTTAGGTAGATGGTAGATTACTCGCCCCTAGATGATACTTCTTCTTCATTGAGTAGTCTTCGTTGTTTTGTTTTGTCAGTTTTAGATTTTCCAGTCAATCACATCATTCTGTTGTTCGTTATGTTTGAGGTGGGATGTATCTTTCCATTTGCGTATTTTATTATTTTTTTTTAAATAAATAAATAGGGATTTCAAAGTGACCAAGTCAAAAATTAATAAATTAATAAAATTCGGTTTTACTTCTAGATTTCTTAGTTTTCAGACGTTAAAAAATAAATAATTTTTTCATTTAATCATTTTCTTAAAAAAATTGGCTATGGGTTGATATAAAAATAAAAAATTGTTATTTTAAACATTTTCTTATACGAGGATTATCGAAAGCGTATTTTACAATGAAATAAAAATAAATTCTATAATTTATGAGCTAAGCAATTATTCAACAACGGTACAATGTCAAACTATGATTATGAATTATAAAACAAATCGCACTCTATTTTCGACGTACTTGAAAAGATAATGACCGGGCAAATTTAATTAGTGATTTTTCAATTTACAACTGAAAATATTACTTTATTTCAATGTACATTAAAAATGATGTACATACACAATGATAGAATGTAACTATAAATTATAGAAATCTGGAAGATCGACGATTCAGTAAATGAGGAATAAAGCTTTCTGATAAAGCAAATATAATATGTGCTTTCTGAACTAGTCTATCGAAAATAAAGTCAACGATGATTATGTATAAAGCTGACGGCCCGACAAGTATTACGTACAAAAATCCTTTCATCTTCGGAATCAAAGAAATGGCAGGAAAAGACGATTTCACGGTCCAGTCGCTAAGAAGATACGCTTCTCTATGTATGTGTGAGAGTGAGAGTAGGCGAGAGCGAGAGAAAGAAAGCTGAACGAAGGGGTTGTTCGACTGGCTCGTGAAAGTATTCCCGTTTTCTTTTCTCTTGTCCTCTTTTTCTAAGCCCGTTCTCATTCGTTGTTGTATCCGGAAATGAGGAAAGGAGGAAGGAATGAAAAGAAGAAAATGCACTAAAGGTTATTTCAGTTTCAATGGACTTAAAAAACTACTACCTTCTACATTTTGCAGTGCTTTGTGCGTCATATGGAGTTGGCTCATTGTGTAACATTGTTGGGCTTTCATTGCCGAAGCAATAGTCGCACTGTTTCGATGCGATCGAATAACTTTCGACGCGATTCTTTCTGCGAAGATGATAGCGAAACGAGAGAAAAATCTGGCCGATTTTTCGGGCAAATGTCGCGTGTAATCGCTATAATACTAGAGAAATGCGATCATCAAGAAAATAACATCGAATTCCAGGAGACAATTCTTAAAGGAACGCATTTGTTGTCTTATATACTTTTAATTGTATTACCTTTTCTGAATTTCATCCAGTTAAATCGGGTCCTCTCCTTCGAAATCGATTCAAATGTGTTTCTAACCATTAATATTAATTTATAGCAATCTCTAAGAATGATATTAAGGATGCATTTATACTAATACCTGATGTTCAGAATCCTAAGCATTCCATGATTATTCTTACAATGATATTATGTAATTTTGAAATATGTCTTGCTACAATCTTATATTCTAGGGATATTTTTATGAGAGTCTAAAGAGCAATTGTAATGAAAAGTAGTATCCAGTAATATATAATTTTATATTGTGTCTTGGTACGTATAAGAACACACAAAGTGAATATAATAGCCTAGTGAATATTTTACAAAATGTTTCCCTTTTAAATACTTCAGTGAACATGATCGAGTCAACAGAGTCAAAATACGTTACGCATGCACGATAAAAATCGTGAAAATAAATAAAATGTGAGGTATGTTGAGTATTAGTATTAAACTGGATACATACTGCTACTACTACAACTCAAGTTTATCGTCCTACATAGCAAATAAGCGTAATCTGACTTTAGGATTGAGGCTTACCGGTGCAACCCCCGTTGGAGCTAACAGACATTCGGCCTACCCTTGGTCCCACTGCGCGGTATACAACCGCTCCTATCCCAACATACATTATCAATCTTATGTACACATAATCGATTTCATTTGAATAACATATCGCTAACTAAGATTTTCTAATGAAATATAATTTATTACGATTTTCTTAACTATATTATCTATAACAATTGCTACTGTCTTTTTAAAAGTAAAATTAGTTGTGTTGAGAAAAAGAGATGGAATGACTGGAATAAAAAAAGTAAAAAGACAATAGAATTGATCGTCATGATACAAAAGCTTGTTTACGACTCAATACCTTATTTGCAATGCCTTGCAGTGATTACACGACGCAAAACGAAATTGTTAAGGGAGTACGATGACTATCAGAAACAAAAATAAGATTCATTTAACTCTTGGAGGATAAGAGTATTTCAGCTCAGAAGTTGTGATTCAAATATCATGACTCTTCATAACTTCAAAAATGTTATATTAGCGATCAAAAATGAGATGTAATCTTATAGAAACGCGCACTTTTTATTGTTTTATAAAACATTGAAAAATGGAAAAATTCTAAAAAAAATTTAAAGTAAGAACCGAAAATGATTCCAGAACTTAATTCCATTCCTAAAGATATCATTCAAAGCCTAAAAAAATAGAAAATGAATAATTTCGATTACGAATGTTTCAAAATTTGGAGGTTAAGCATGGAGATCGATAGCAAGCTTGTGACGGTCATTACGCAAGTTTTTAGTCCAATCATACTCCCTTAAGTCAGTTAAAAATCTATTGGACTTTTGAGACAAATGTTTACATTACATGCGCATATGAGATATCTCATCATTAATTATGCCCGAAATCGACTAAAGGATTATAATTTTATCTCGTAATTTTATAGATTTTTACTTTTTTTGAGTTTTTCCATTCCATCATTCTATGTAATTTTTCAATTAAAAAATTGAATCATTTCGAAATAAGTTTCGTGTTAGCAAATATTGTGCGATAGTTCAATGATTGATTGTACTAATGTGTTGCTTGAAAATTACCTTGCTCAAGTTTAAAATGAAATTTTAATATAAAACTCAAATAAACGTTTATACTATAAAAAATGTAACTAAATAGTTATTGAAAATTATTCATCGTAGTCACAGTTTATCTGTTTGGTTGCGTGATATCTTTTATTTGTTACAGACATTCAAGTATGTATAATCCTTAAAATTAATAATTGTTATAGAGTCTCAGCAATTTTAATTACAATATCGTTCATAGCGTGAACATTCGTAGTGTGATAGCTTATACACTCGCGTACTCAATGATTTGAATTCTTCGTTTTACTTCGTTTATCAAGGACTTATAATGAATGGCGGCGAAACTTTTTACAAAATTTTCGCGCCTACAGGATCGCTTTTGTCATTTATTAATTATAGTTTTAGGTGAAATCCTTTTTTAGCCCTGGTAGTCTTGATCGATTATAATCTTCATCAAAATTGTTTTATTGTTAAAGTGATAGGATGAAGTAAGAAATTTAAAATAAAACCATTTTTATCTAACTCATCAGAGACGATAATAAAAAAGTTGTAAATAATTTTATAGAAACATAATATATACCGTATAAATCGATACGAGCCTACCAAAGACTTGACAATTATAATTAAACCCGCACGCAATCACAGTGATATAACAACAATCTTACGAATAGCAACAATTCAACTATAGTCCAATGTCATAAACTTCATCGCCGTTTATATCATGACGATTTAGCAATTTTAATTTGTGTCATGTCATGCGTTCATAATTTCATTAAAAATTTCGTTTAAATACGTTAATCAAACCAAATTGAATAAAATAGCGACGAAGAAAATGAAATGGAACTATAGATGCGCATAAAAATATTAGAATATCATTAAGCATCGTATATAATAACAAATTGAAGCTCGGGACAAATGGCTTCTTCGGAATTAATTTTCATTTCTCATTTAGCATAGCTCGAAAATATTTTTATTTTTCATGATTTCATTACTGTAACCAATTGACAAATAAAATGCTTGTTGTAAACAAGTAGAAAATCGTCGATGATTTGGTAATTTCTTATTTTTCTCCCTCATTAACATGCTATCATAGCTTAATCATAGCTCACGGACGGACGCGCGTCGTCCCTCACTAATTTATCAATTTTCCTAAATGCATTCGTTCTTTCACTTGTACAATGGCAGCTTTGGTAAACAATTGATTTCTCTTTGGCCTTTAATCCGTCGCATTTTCAAGCCTGCAACTCTGCGCGTTCGGACGTACTTTTGATATTTTTCTAAAGCGACGAAACACTTATCTTTTTTATTTTCTTTAACTTCATTTTCGGTTGATTCGATCACAGCTTGCGCCAACGCCTATTTCCTTAACTTGTCTCGATTGGAAATAATGAATCGTGAATTCGTTGGTAACGTGAAAATTACGACTTAGTGCGATAGTCTTGAGATATTAAAATACAATGAAATAGAAAGCGACTTGTGTTTGTGTGTGTGAGGGGAGCTGCGGCGATATTTTTTTTCACCGTCTATCATTTTCACTACGAAGCTAATGCTTTTATTATACTCGGTTATTCATTTTGGTACTAAAAGGTTCATTTGATTTCTTAATCTACGATTACCAGTTAATATTTTTTACTGGATAGTGAACGCTGAGAGATTGAAGCAGTGATATTTCCACTCCGGTATACGAACAAACGAATGATGAAATTGAATTTATTGCAGTTATTTTTCTATAAGTATATCCTTCCACTTTTAATGAGAAAAAGTGGTTTAATTAAAAGCTTCTATAAAGATAGTAGAGATTTGTCTAAACAGACTCTATACATAACTTCACAAATAAGTTTAGTTATGAACAAGGCTTAATCTGCTCGAACGTTCATGTTGATAAGACTAGGTATCTAAAACGCCACATTTTTTTTCGATTAAAGAGTTTCCTTTTTTTACTTTATAGAGGTTACATGTATAACGCTAGGTTAATGTTTTTTCCCTTAGTTTTTATCTACGAACAACGTCTATAATAGAAAGTTCCGTGTATTTTAGAGACCAGTGGGTCGGCGGAGTCGTAAAGTATAAGAAAATAAAAGAAGTGCAAGAGGGATTTGAATGGAAGTAATGCTTTTAAAGCAAAGAGAGCGCGAAGACTTTTTCTTGTAACAAAGGAAATTATCATGGAAAAAATAACTGAAAAAAAATACTTGAAATTTATTTCCAATTTTTTGACTAATTCCAACTTTATAAATATTTCAATTACTGTGCTAATATTTTTTGCTACTTCGTTTCACAAAATAGTATTATGTGAATTTTAGGTATTACCATAAAACTGTGACCAAACCAAAATCTTTCAGACAATTAATATGTTCTGTATTCCGACCACACTAAAGTCACATTGTGCACGACAAATCATCTACAATTTAGTCTAACTTCTATGATTATCAATTGTAGATATCAATTGTCGCAGCAGTTTTGTTTCCCCGATAAATAATTATTGAGTTTACAATTATACCGCATTATATTGCTGGAGTTAGGGATTACATTAAATCAATTTAAAATATTTGTAAGGATTTTTCAGAAAACTTGTACAATAGTACGTATCAAGAATTATAGATGTTTATTAAATCGCACATTATAAAATAAACGCAGGAAAGTAGATTTTTGTCTGGTGTGACTATCCCTTGCTTCGCTCAGGCACAACGCCACACGAGACGAGAATCGCTCTCCTGAACATGTATTGTACGGTATTGTTTGATACGACGTATGCAAAGTTCGATTTTAAGCGCGTTTTTGGCCGAATGTACAGAAAAGTCGCATTTATATACGGATAATTGTCATTGAAATAATAGTAAATCTTGATTCTACAGATCGATCCATATAGCAATATAGATCGATCTATGCTACCGTAGTAATCATTTTTCAAAATAAAATATATTTTCAGAAGCAATAACTACAATATTATGATATTACTTTGTACAAGCTTTCTATGCGAGATTTTCTTAGTTTTTTATACTTTAGAAAAACCATAAAATTCAGTTTTGGTATTTGAATTGAAAGATTAGATCAACCTTAAAGAAGTATGGAAATCCAATCGAAGAAATAAGTGTTAAATGGGTTACTGATATTTTTACATGAATATACCGCGTAACAGTAGCCTGTCAAAATATTTTTCAATTTTTATTTTTTTACTTCAATAGATCATTGAAAATGTTTTAAAATATAGGACTGTGCCACCGGACTTTCTTATATAGTATATTTTTTTCGGACGTTCGACTTTTATTTCAAATTCCCCAACTTAACTTAAAAATACATAGTGTCCATTTTGCGCAATCTTAAAAAATAATATGAATAATTATATTAAAGAATATTGTACAATTCAAAGAAAGAGATAAAAACAAGTCAACTTCTCTTAAATAATTCGTATTACTATGCAGCCTTACTAATGATTTCGATTCTATATTTGCTTGTTAATTAATATTTAAAATAATTTCTCACAATCGCAAACCATATTTCTTACTATAATCCTTTTCACTTGGATTATGCTATCGAGTCGCAATTACGTCTTTGACGTCTCGTTATTCGGTAAATTTGGTTTTCCTAATGGAAAGGAGGTAGAGGCAGGCGACGCTTTGCTTGACGAAGGACCATGGAGTTAGCCAGCCATGCGTCTGTGAACATTTTTTCAACTTCCAGTCAGGGAATTGCTCATAGCATAAGATGTAGTCATACATATCGTTAGTATGTTTTCATTTTACTACGAACTACATAAATGCTCCTTTTAAATTTTTTACGATATTGATGAACAAAAATGGATGAATATGATATTCGATTAACCAAGATTATTTTAATAGAAGGAAAAAAACGAACTATAAGAACCGTAGTTTATCGTCTGTAACTTCAAACATAGCTGTTGTTACAGACAAAAGATATAATTTAGCACGTTGGGTTATTAGGTTATTGAAGAAAAATGTAAAAAATCCTGTGCTAAATAACGTGATAGCATTAACCCTTTTCCTCCCAAATAACACAAATTTTTTCTTAACTTTC